ATACAGAGGGTATTCGATTGTTGCCCTGGCCTGCACGGTCTCCAGATCTCTCACCAATTGAAAACATCTGGTCATGGGTTGCTGAGAGACTGACCCGCCACCCCTCTCCTGCTAATACAGTCAATGAAGCGTAGCATAGACTTGAAGCAGCATGGAACAAGTTGCCCATTTCTGTCATCCAAGCCCAGTTTGAATCTATGCCTAACCGGATAAGGGCCGTTTTAGCTGCCAGGGGTGGCAACTGTGTCTACTAATTTCGCACCCCTGTAAACCTTCAAACGGCTTGCAAATTTAATCATTTTGTCTTTATGCCATACTGTTTATGTACAATAAATATCTTTTTTTTATTTGCTTTCCTTCTTGGTGTTGCAATTTTAATGGCCAGCAGTGTATTTAATAAAACACCCGTTCGATCAATAATGATTGGTCCAAAAATCAGTTTCCCTAAATGTATTTTAGGAAATTTCCGACTGCAAAATTATAGCGGAGCAATTTATTGTTGTATTGTCTTATCCTATCAATGAGATTCGTGTACTATCCTTTGCTAGAAAATTGTTTTGGAAGAGCTGTATGCTACTAATTAGATTCAGTCATATTATTAAAAGCTTTAATCGTTCCTAAAAGAATTTTACATCTCGGTTAATTGAGTGTGGCCCAAAAGCCACCCTGCGAAAAATCTCTAACGTTACAATTAATTGGTGTAAATTTAGGCGATTTTATTATGTTATTTGGTATTTTGAAAATATATTTAAATAAGAACTTACCTCTTGTTTAAACTGCGTAAATGTCTTATTTATTTTTTGAAATGGCACAGAAATGGCAACATCGTCTCCATATTTATCAGCCGCTGCGTCTACTACATCGCCGAGAGTAGCATTGGAAAAAGTAAAACCTCCAGGTTTGTGCCAATAACTTGCGCTTATTTTATTAAAGCTTTTGTCCTTAGAATAATTTCTGAAAATTAATTTTCGAAATAAAATTCCTGTAATTGCAGTAAATTTTAAATGTAATACGGACAACTGACAATAGATTTCCAAAATCGGCTAAACGCAAACCATTATCATACTTGGAAGTTTTATGTAGTTCTTCCCAACTGCCTTTCGATCTGTTAGTCCTCTTCAGTTACAAGATTAAATAAAATTTCAAACTTTAATCGCTGATAATAGTGGGTTTAGGTTGATTTTAGCCACGTTGTTCCCTCTATTGAATCTAGTTACTTAACTGTTATTTTTGTAATAATTATCCACGGTTAAAAGTATATCATTCAATATATTAAAGATAGAAAACTCTTTTCTTTACATTTTAACATATTAAACAAAAAGAAAATAAATAAATTAATTATTAACTACGGTTGTAAACTTTGTATAGTATCGAGTGATATATGATTCACATTACATAAATTTAGATAAAGCCTACGCTGGCCACAGAGCCTCGCTCAATCTGAAACCTTAACTATTGTATTGAAATATTAAAATCGTTTAGGCTGGTGATTATAATAAAAATAAATCTTTTGCACGTGTAACATATAATTGGCGGATAAGGAAGTTTACAGTAATTAGTTATCACTGCTAGCCGATAAGCTTGCAATGATTATAAACAATAATTATTTAAAAATAATAGTATTATATGATTGGTTTATAAAATAAAATATATTTTAAAATATTTTATAAATCAATATCAACTGTTTCATTATTTGTTGAAAAATAAGATTAGATTAGATATAAATGTGACTGATTAACTCACTCTTTATCGTCAAATTCTCAAGAGTTGTTCAGATAAAAGTGATTAATGGAAATTTGTACTTTTTCAAAATGTTCAAGACATAAATTTTAAAAAAGAAATAAAATATCAATTAAATTGAATGAAATTAGGGGATTTCAATGGAAATTGAAGTAATTAATCAATTTTAAAATAGATTAAAAATACGTTTTCAACTGCTGAAATTTATTTTAATATTTTAAAATTTGACTTCAATTAACTTGATCCGAAATTGCGAATAAAGTTATATGCGAAAAATTAAAATGGTCGATAAGGCATCTCAGGTCGATAAAAAGTGAAGAAATTCTTGACAGGGTCGACAATCAAAGCAGTTCGAAGAGTCCTGTTATATTCGCTCCGAAAGTTGCAGACTTTTCTATATTTTTTGCACCAGCGCATTGACAATTTGACCCGGTACGTCAGGCCCCATCCCTCGCTCTCAACGGTTCCGTGTTGGCCTACTGGTGACGAGCGTAATTAAACAGTCAACAAGACGGAGTGTTATAGTGTATGCAACATTATATATTGTAATGTTATACATATTTTCTGTAAAATGTCGGGTAAATCGACTCCCTCTTAACACCAAAGTGTCCACATACTCCTATGATCATTATAATATGGAGTCTTCGGAGACATATAGTGCTAACACTATACGTTCACGAGGGCTTCATATAACATTATAACATATATAACATTATATACGACAATGACTATGGACGTATCAAGGACACTGGTTAAGGAGGACAGAAGAAATTGATTTGCCCGAAATTATACACAGATAAAACCACAAGTATCAGTTTTTAATTTGTCATCACTGATAATTCTTCTTGCATTGTTCCAATTTCGCCATTGTTTTTCCCGAATTTGGGAGGACCCCCTTATCCCCTGAATTGTGTACCGATTATATCTACTGAATTTTATTTTCTTATACGACATAATTATTTTAATTTTTAATTGTGCATTCAATAAACTAGATTAATTTTTAAATATCCAATCGTAATTTTAAGTACTTAAAAATCAGATAAGAAAGGTTTTTTTTTTGTGATGAGGGGAAGAAACATTGGGAAAATTTCGTTTCAGTTTTAAACAATAAATAACTATTTTATTTGCTGGAATGTTTATTGTTATAAAAAATTTGGATTTAGTATGGTATTGTCATTAAAGCAACGCTATCCGCATGAATTCACCCTAATTTATTGCACAACTCGAAAGGAATGTCTACTGCATCGAAGATCATCGCATAGAATTGTGCAACAAACACCAGTTCATACCACGTGGCACCCTGTTTTTAAATGACGTAATATGCATTGTTTTAATAAACAGTTTCAGGAAGGCGTTGACGTTACGTCACATTTTCAACATATTCTTGTGCTTTATATATCCAATTAATCATACTATATACATAATTTAAGTAATTAGACATAGGCTAAATAATTAAACAATTACTTATGTTGATATAATTACAATAAAACGCAACTAAGTTTAATTTTGATGTCAAATGCTTGAAGGAAATTAAAATCAGTTTAAAAAGTAGACAAAAGATATGAAGATTTGAATTCGAAAGTAAGTATTTACTTTCCAATTCAAACCTTCTGTATGTGAGCTGTGTGTCTGTTTAATAGCATTTTATACAAAATAAAAAGTATAGAATATTCAAATAATACAGTATAAATTTGACTTTTTAATGTCAAATTTGAGTCTTTTTTAAAAACTTTCAAAACTCACAAAATGCTTCAAATTTATTTTTAAACATTTGACAGAGATAAATAAATTTAATGAAATACAGTTACTTGACAATAAATATCAAATGATTCTGTTGTTTAAGTAGAACAAAATATATAATGGCGTGTGTTGTTTTGGATAATTAACTGATGAATCATCACACTTATACATTTGGAAGTGTTCCCGGTTTATATTTTTATCAGTTAGAAATGTATCACATCTACTTTCTTAAAATATTAACGGATATATCATTATTTACAAATGAAAAATGACAAGGTAAATAAACTTATACGCTTCATAATCTTACAAATTAAATTTTATACGTAGATTTTATTATAAAATTATGATAAAATCACCAAAAAAAGGATACGGACGGAAGTGATTTTTACATATTAAATCATTACCGGTGGAGTATTTAGGTGAAATACATTCACCTAAGTCCTAAATTTCATTTAAATTTACAGTACATAAAAAGTAAAATAAATAATTTGCAGATTGTAGATCGTTTTTGGTAACTTAAGCTAACAAAACTCTAGCTTGATCCTTAAACATTAATGCTTATATATGAATTATTAACAAAATTACTGCTTACCTGAAATGATTAGAGCTTAAATTAAATTTCAGTTTTAAAATTTGTTTCGCCCAGTTTAGCATTTTTTAATTTTCTTCTTAATTATTTTTTTAATAAAGTTAAATGTATAACAAGGAAGTTGCTGACAGCAAAGAAGTTTTCGTCTGTTTAACCGATAGCACATTTCAAGGCTATTTATCTACGAAAGGCACGTGACTTTAATTTTTTTCACGTTTGCTGAGAATGAATAATTTGCGGAATGTAGTTCAAAATGTCAAAGTCCGTTTTCGTTTATGAAAACAGTTTTTTCCCTCTTTACTTTATCTATTACAATCTTTTGAAAAGATATAATATTCACGTTTTTACTTTATCAAGGAGACCATTTAACTGCTGTCCTTCGTAAAAGATCATTTACATAAATAGATTATCGGGTCTCTAATCATACTTTTGTTCTTTCTTCTTCATATTTCAACAAATTAAGCATACTAATTACTTGTAAATTATTTCCATCTATTTATTTATTCGCAAATATTTACAATGTAATAAATTTGTAAATATTTTTTTCGATTCGTAAGCAGGAATAACTCATGTAAGGTGGAGAATTATAATGAAAACTTTCAGGGTTTTAAATTATTTTTTAAGTTTTGCCAGGCGAATCAAGTCGCTCTCGATTACGTTAGAAAAAAAAATTTAGGCCATGCCCTAGTCGAGCGTAGACTCGCGTGGTCTCCCCCCTTTTTTTTTTTTTTATAAGTTTATGTAATATAAAACCTGTATGAAACAATATGCTATATGATAGTGTATACCACTCCCACTGGGTCCTGGCCGTGTTGGCCATCAGGGGACTCTTGTGTTGTGTTCTATTCCCGTGTATTATGGCCGAGTTGGCCATCTGGGGTTCTTTGCGTTGTTGCTCCCCATTGTAACCTGGCCGAGTTGACTGTCAGGGGACTTTTCGTGCTTATTTTTAGTTATTTGTTTTATTTTATTATTATTATTTTTTTAATTTTTTTCCTCGCGTTTAACTTTGTGCTTTTGTACTCCAACACATTTCGGGTTGGTATTTTCAGCAGCTTGTGTCGGTTGCCCACGTGCATAGCTGTCAATTGCTCACGTTTCCTGTCTCCCTAGAGGCAGTACCGCGGGCTTATTTTCTGTATATATTTTGACCATACTGTTATCTGTGGGCCCCATGTGTTTTAACTAAAGTATATTCAATAAATGGAACGCGACGGCGCCATGGTTCCCATGTCACACTTTCCGATCATTCCTTATATTTCTTCCCTGTTCTCACTTCCTCTAAAATTCTTCATTCTTCCTTTTCAAAGGCTATGTCATAAGGTTTGGCCTTTTAACACTTTTAAACATATCATATCATATTTGATAGAGTAGATGATCTAGGATTCGATCAGGACGATTGACAAACATATATTCGTGTGTGTTGAAGCCACTAAAAGCCACAGGTCTTAGCATAAATCTATATTTCTTATGCCTAAAACCATCACTGATTACATTTAACGAATGTTTTCGTTACACACATTTTCACGTATTTCAAACACATGTCAACATAGAGCCTCTTGATACGAAAGTCTCGCGCTTTTAAATTTATTATTATTTGATTTGAGGGGAAAGAGCATCTTATGTGTTACAGTTTGGAGCCGCAAAACTTTAAATTCGTCCCTGTCTATGTATATATTAATAAATATGTATAAAATTATGTATCATATTTGAGGATACCTTTAATATCATTTAACTTATTATTTTAAACATTTAATTAAATCTTACATAATAGGAAAAATGTCCTTTAATAATTAACATAACCAGTTGAGAGAAACAGAAAACAATTTTTTTTTTCTTTTTAACGTAATCGCCGTAAAACAAAATAAACATTATTTTTATATATTTGTCAACTTTGTTCGCATCATTGTTTTTTATTGATAGAAATAAATATTTATTTTAAATAATGTAAGATTTGTTATATAATATTTAAGTTAGTCATCTTGTAGGCCTTTCATATTATGACAAATATATAAATTATAAGCAAAATAAATAATAAATTCTGAATAAAAATTGTAAATGACATAATTGAGAGTATCAGTGTCAGTTAATGCTATTTTAATTTTAAATTTACTTTAGTATGGACTAAGAAGATGAGATGGGACTCAGTCAGCCCACTAAAACTGAATTCAGACTTATACCCTAGGCTGTAACATATAAGAAGTCCTTCCTCTATCATTAAATAATAAATTTAAAAGAATTAGATCTAAGCTTTAATCTCATAAAGTTATCTTATGTATAAATCCGTTCATCGGGTCCACTCTAGAGTAGACCCGAGTAAACTAGAGTAGACCTAGAGTAAACTCTGAAAAATGACTGAAACAACGATAGTCCATTCTTCGAAAGCCATCAAATTATACGAATAGAATCAACAAAATAAATAAAAATAAGAACTTTAATTTACATCACTTTAATCTTAAGTTTTTTCATTTAAAAAATTAAATTTTGGAACCTCGCTGTATCTACCAAGGACAGAGCGAAATGCTTGTTGGCTTTCATCTATCTGGGCTGCGCTTTGAAAAATAGCAATTGAAGAGAATCCGATAAGTTAAGCACACGTGAATAAATTATCATTCTGTGTTATTATTTAAAAAATTTAATAAAAGGATTTAATTACTAAAAATTTAATATTTATTTTCGTGTGTTTTGATCAATCCTATTTGCTCAGTACCCTGCTGGGACCTTCTCTTTCTTATCCTTGTCTTAATCTCTTCCTTTCTTCTTCCTAGACCCTTGAATAGGCTGTATTCTCTAATGATGATGATAATAATAAATAAATATTTTTATTATTATTCTAAAAATATGCAGTTGAAACAATTTATTTATACAGTAATATGACTCACTATAAAGTGATGTAGCAGAAACGATTAGTATAAACGCAAAACCAAAATACTATATATTGTTTAGCACTTTTGCATTAGTTTTAGCTAAGAATTATATGCATACATTTAATCTAATAAGTGAATTAATTTCACGCTAATTTTTAAATTGTATCATTTTAATAATTTTTGTAATTGTTAACGGATAAACACTATTTATCAACATAACATTTTTAAGGTATACTCGTATCTGGAAGATTGAGATAAAGCAGCACGTATATAATATGCTCCGAAATTATATATTTCTATATATTAATTTATAAAAAGGACATCTTCATATAGTAATACTATTAGCGAGAACAATTTAGAAGCCAATCTGTTGCTCTAGAAAATCTCTGTAATTTCTGGGTTTTTCTCTCGTTTCTAACACTTAAATTTGAGCAGTTCCTCATAGAAAGTCCTTCTGAAGCATCCCACTTTGACATGTCGCTCTTGGGTTGCACTTCAGCCCAGGATGATCCCAGCTCGGGTTAGAAATTTTATGGAGATTTAGTCGGGCGGTCTCTTACAACTATTCCAGCTATTCCATTATAGACTATGATGGACATTAAAATGGCTAGAAATTCTAGAAGTTAAGAATGAAAATATCTTATAGTGTATGGCTCTTGCTTCTTGTAATATGCTGAAGGATCTGTATTAGAAAGATACTACAGTAGTCTATATATTGCCCTTTTGGTTTCAATTGGGAGACAAAAATTTTTGACGGTGGCAGTTCGTTGCAATGTTTGTAACGAACCCCGTACAAGAGTAAATTTAGTTATAAATATTTAATGTAAAATAAACAATATTTTAGAAATAATTATATAATTAATTTAAATTGATTTTATAAATTAACTGTAAATTAAAATTCAATTTTTTCAAAAAAAGTTAATTTTTTCTTTTTACCTGATATTTTTTTGTATAATAAAAAAATGATATAAGTGATTAAAAATATATTTTATTGATTTTATTCATATATTTTTTGGCTTTCGGAAAGAGGTAGGCCCATGCTTTAAGTTGCATATTCAACATAAAAAAATATTTAATATATATTTTAAATATAATTTTTTTAATTGTATGTTTCAGTAAGCATGATAACACGTGTTTATTATAGAGATGCGGGTTATACAGTCTCAGCAAGAAGGCGGAGATAGATTTAAAAAAAAAGCAAACGATAAGATTACAGAATGATTTCAATAAGTATTTAAGTCTAAAGGACACGAAATATAGATTGCAATTGGACAGAGATGATTACATTAAAGGTGTGTCAAAGTAACAAAATCCAAAGATTTTTTGCTGCAAGTGCAAATGCACTCGAGCTTATTCACTAATCGTTACCCCGAACAAAGATTATCGTTAATGACCTTCGTTAGAGTATTATCTCCAAAGGTCTTAAAGATGCAAATTGTCTATTTTTATATTATGTTTATTAATAACTTTATGAAAATGTTCTTAGTTATCAATAAAATGTATAAATTAAAGTTTGAGTTGTGGAACTATTTCATATATTATAATTAATTTATATTAAATAAATAGATATTTTTGTAACTATTATGGTATTCATTTATCGTAACGTGAAATCAAGATCAAAGTTTCGAGGAAAAAATAAAATATCCTTTAATAATTAACATAACCAGTTGAGAGAAACAGAAAACAATTTTTTTTCTTTTTAACGTAATCGCCGTAAAACAAAATAAACATTATTTTTATATATTTGTCAACTTTGTTCGCATTATTGTTTTTTATTGATAGAAATAAATATTTATTTTAAATAATGTAAGATTTGTTATATAATATTTAAGTTAGTCATCTTGTAGGCCTTTCATATTATGACAAATATATAAATTATAAGCAAAATAAATAATAAATTCTGAATAAAAATTGTAAATGACATNATTGTTTTTTATTGATAGAAATAAATATTTATTTTAAATAATGTAAGATTTGTTATATAATATTTAAGTTAGTCATCTTGTAGGCCTTTCATATTATGACAAATATATAAATTATAAGCAAAATAAATAATAAATTCTGAATAAAAATTGTAAATGACATAATTGAGAGTATCAGTGTCAGTTAATGCTATTTTAATTTTAAATTTACTTTAGTATGGACTAAGAAGATGAGATGGGACTCAGTCAGCCCACTAAAACTGAATTCAGACTTATACCCTAGGCTGTAACATATAAGAAGTCCTTCCTCTATCATTAAATAATAAATTTAAAAGAATTAGATCTAAGCTTTAATCTCATAAAGTTATCTTATGTATAAATCCGTTCATCGGGTCCACTCTAGAGTAGACCCGAGTA